GAAGGGGGAAGCATGATACTATTGGGAAGATGTAAGTGAAATGAAGACAGGAAACTTTCTGAAACAGAAGATTCCATTTTATTATTGCTTTAGAGTAACTTGACCTACATTAAGCTCATAAGCAAGCTTTTTAAATTTACTTTATATCCTGTGTATCTTGAGGTATTTTAGGCTACCGTGAGAAATAAAAATGTTTATAATAATCTTATTCACAGACTTCATGAGAGGTGTTGTTGATTCAGAAGACTTACCTCTAAATATCTCACGTGAAATGCTTCAGCAGAGCAAAATCCTGAAAGTGATTCGAAAGAACTTGGTCAAGAAATGTTTAGAACTCTTTACTGAGCTGGCAGAAGATAAAGAGAACTACAAGAAGTTCTATGAGCAGTTTTCCAAGAATATTAAGGTTTGTTGGTTTGAAATATTTACTTCAATGTTGTCATAATGTTGGCGTGCACCTTACAAAAATAGAACTTTCTTTCAGCTTGGCATTCATGAAGATTCCCAAAACCGCAAGAAGTTATCCGAGTTGTTAAGATACTACACTTCTGCATCTGGGGATGAGATGGTGTCATTAAAGGATTACTGCACTCGAATGAAGGAAAATCAGAAACATGTCTACTACATTACTGGTGAGTATAATTTCAAATTATCTGGTTTCTACTTAAATTGGAATGAATGGTTTACAAGTAGTCCTTGTTTAGCAACCATTCGTAGTTAGGACTATGACCATTACTGATATTTACAGCCTTTGCAGGTCTGTAAAGTAAAGGAAAACTGAAGTAAAATGGTAAGCACAGTTACCATTTCACTTGCCAATTGCTTTGCTTAATGACCAAGTTGCTGGTCCCAATTGTGCTGAAGGAGGACTACCTGTATCATAGAAGTTTATTCTTGACTGTAAGCATCTATGCTTGTGTTATCTTGATCTTGGTTGTCAGGCATGTTCATGAGTTAGTAGCAGGTTCCAATTAAAGTTGATAACAATAAATTTGTTCTTAAATTCTGTTGAACTTTGCTGAAGGTAGATTTTTCTTCTAGGTGAAACAAAAGATCAGGTGGCTAATTCTGCATTTGTGGAGCGACTTCGTAAACATGGCTTGGAAGTAATCTATATGATTGAACCTATTGATGAATATTGTGTGCAGCAGTTGAAAGAATTTGAGGGGAAGACTTTGGTGTCAGTAACAAAAGAGGGTCTGGAGCTTCCTGAAGATGAAGAAGAGAAAAAGAAACAGGAGGAGAAGAAAGCCAAGTTTGAAAGTCTCTGCAAGATTATGAAAGATATACTTGAAAAGAAAGTAGAAAAGGTAAACAACCTTTGTGTAATTAAGCCCCTGCTGTAAAGTAGTGGAAGTTTTTGTTGATGGCCTGTTTATAAAATAACATGCTGTCTTTAAGTTCAGTGTGCTATGCAGTTTAATCAAGTAGCAACTGAGTTTTTCAAAGTTGGACAAAACAGGAGATGGGGATGATTGTAGCCTTCAGGAATGCAACAGATTAACTGCTATACTTCAGTATTTTCTTACTATATTGTATGCAGCTTTTACAGTATTACTGTAGCCGTGGCATGTATTTCTGGCTAGATTGCCTAGTTTTAGCTTTCTTGATAGTGTATCTGCTAGAAAGCTTTCTTAGGGTGTCTCATCATGAATCATTTACTGAGACAGCTGTGTATTAAGGTGACTATGATTGCAATATGCCACATGATCTCTGGTGGTTTTTCTCTGTTTAAATATTCTGTAATTCTTGCAGGTTGTAGTTTCCAACCGATTGGTTACTTCTCCATGCTGTATTGTAACCAGTACATATGGCTGGACTGCAAACATGGAGAGGATCATGAAGGCACAGGCACTCAGGGACAACTCCACAATGGGTTATATGGCTGCAAAGAAACATTTGGAGATAAATCCTGACCACTCTATCATTGAAACACTGAGACAGAAGGCAGAAGCAGACAAGAACGACAAGTCAGTGAAGGATCTGGTCATTCTTCTGTATGAGACTGCACTTTTGTCTTCCGGCTTCAGCCTAGAGGATCCTCAGACACATGCCAACCGTATCTATAGAATGATAAAACTTGGTCTGGGTAAGTGAATCTTAATAAAAGTGAAATGTGTCTTTTTCACACAAGAGTCTACTGGGAGATACTTCCATGGAGAAAGTAATAGTTAATTGTGTTAACTTTATACAGGCATAGATGAAGACGATGCTGCTACAGAAGAAACAAGCCCAGCAGTTACCGAAGAGATGCCACCACTGGAAGGAGATGATGACACTTCACGAATGGAAGAAGTCGATTAAATGCTCAATTATTTGAAAGAAATGTGGATATTCCCTTTGTCCTTGGCTTTGAATAAGTTATGTTTTGTATATTATGAATGTTAACCTGCTGAAAAACTCATGACACTTGTCTGCATTCCCTCTTTATATTTATTTTTGAAGATGTTATTCTTTTATTTTTGTTACATTTGCTTTTTTAGGTAATGTGGGATGCCATTGAGGGAGTGTCCTTTCTTGATGTATAACCCTGTACATTGGCAAGTACGAAATATTATTTGGGTAGTTAATGGCAGGATTTTATGCTGGTGGACAGAAAAAGGGAGTAAGTGGGAAATCCAGTTCTGCAAGTGTGGTTAAATCTCTGAAGTTATTACAATTGAACACCTGTATCATACAGTACCTAGTAACTAGGTATTGGAACAGAATATTGGAATATTTAACATCATAATTCCAACCTGTTGATGTTTAGTTTTTTTATACTGTAAAAAGGATTCTAAATTCCACTCTTAACATAGAATAGAATCTACTGTAAATCTATTGTGACTAATGCAGTTTTGCATGTACAGTTCTGCTCTGGAACTATCTAGAAATAAAAGTGTTCGGAATGAACTTGTGAGACAAATTTACTGTATATATATATTAAACAACAAATGAACTGAATATAAATTAGCCCTTTTATTAGAGCTAACTAGCTGCACCTCAGTTGAGGAGTTACATTTTAAAAGTGTAGTAGATACGTAACTTGTACTTGGACAAGACTAGAATTTTTTGCTTCTCAGAAAATAAGTCCAGAAAATATTCTAAATACTGTATACTTCAAGCATTTCAGAACAGACACAGGCAGTACAGTAAATCCATGTTGATGCTTGCTTGGTTCAGTTTTTCTTTATTGACCCATATAAGAAAAGGTTTTTGTATAAGGGATACCTATTACATAATCTAAAGGGCAGAGGTGAGGATTTGGTCACCATGGAAGATGTTTTGGAGTGGGTGGTTCAAAATGCTTAATTGTAACAAACAATCGGAATAGAGAACAAACCTGGTCCCCCCCCACTTTTTTTTTTTTGACCTGAAGTCAAATATTTAACCTCACAGCAACTGGTGAGAATAAGTTGCTGTGCTTCCTTTTACTTTCCAAATAAAATTTGTTAGTTGGAAAAGGTGCTGCCAGACTCCTGATTTTTTGCCATCATAGACTAATATGGCTCTCCTAAAATGTGCTTCCTGTAGTCCCTCTTGTACAACTGGAACTTCAGCAAAGAAGCCAACAGTTAGAACTTCACAATGGTAAAAACTGGTTACTGACAGAGTAAGGGGACTTGAATCCCTTTCTGGTACCTGAAAGCTGGTAGCACTAGGGCAACTGCTGGCTATGCATTGTGGCAGCATTTTATTTTTTTTTTATCAGAATTTTTATCAGAATTTTAAATGGAAGATGAGCGTGAAAAAATATATAGAAAATTAAATTGAGAAGATAATGTACAGTAGATAAAATTCAAGCAACTTCCAATCTACCTTAGAGGGTTACAAACATATTTGTCACTCTTCCATCAAGGTGGAGTGTTCACTTTTTCCCATTTTTCAGTGAACAAATCCAGAAATCAAGTCATTTTCAGCAAAAAGTTCATAAAGGGTTTCCAATCTTCTAAGAAAGTACTTTATCCCTGATCAAGCAGGTCAATTTTGCCATTTCTGCTAGTTCTGTCATCTTCAGAGTCAACCCTCCATTGTGGATAGTTCTGTACTTCTCTGTCTTTGCACATACAGTAGCTTTGCTGCGGTACATAAAGCCAATCTGACACGCATCTTTTCTAATTGGGTATCCATAAGTCCTAGTATAAAAAAAAAACTGGTTTCATCTGAATTTTTAAAATTCTCTGCAACATATGTATTTTTATCCAATATTTTTTCACTTTTTCATAAGTCTACCATGCATGGTGAAATGTCCTGTGTGTTCCACATTTCCAGTAGTTAAAATTTCCAGTCTGTTTTCTAAATTAGTCATGCCCTGGGACTATGTGACAGGAAACACAAGCCAACTGAATTTGAAAGGGTTGATCATTCCTATCCATACATTTTAACCAACCCAACTCCTGACCAGGAATCATTATTAAAGTCTTAGATTGGAATGCAATCGGTAATAAAATAGTAATTTTAACTGTTAACATGCTTCATCAAGGTCCTAATGAAGATTGTGTTCTCACATGGCTTCATTGCTAGATTGCAGAAATTACTGAGGGTTGAATTAATCATCTCTAAAACAGAATAAAGCATTGTAAAATCAGTTCAGCCCCTCCTGCTTCAAATGTAGACATAATCTTTGGGGACCTGGAGTGTCCTCTAAAATGGTTGAGGTGCAGGCATAATACCGAAAATTACAAATGCATCCTTACCAGAATGCTAAGGGTTTGGCTTAGCTCAAGGATATATAGCATGATTTGTATTGCCTTGACATTTCTTTTGTGAGGGCTTAGATGGGTGGATGAGGGAAATGGGAAATATTCAGAGGGCATAGTTGTAACTCCTTGCACTGATCCATACTCCGTATTTTTGTTGGCATATTTCAGATGGTTTTGTAACAAAATCCATTACTGATACTCCTAGGAAGGTAGCCTCATTGATAAGACAGTGATGTCATAATAGAGAACATTCCACAACATATGCTGCTATAGTAACAAGCTTTGTTTGCATTTAGACACCTGATTGGCTTGCATTGGCTTGCATTTTGAGGGTAATAAAGTTAACTGAAAGGTAGGCTCTTTCTAGTTGTAGTAACTGATGTGAATATGTTAGCCTTCTGCTCACAGTTTAGTAGGTAGATGTGAGCCTGGCTAACTCATAGTCTAGGAGGTGATTTTGCTTTATTTTCTGCAAAACAGTGCAAACTAGGCATTACTCTTGATAGCCAGCCTCCTTTCTCACACACCGAAAAAAGTTTTGGGAGGGCATAAAGTGAAGTCTAGAAGCCACAGCAGGGAGGTGCTTATCTTTGCCCCATCTGCTGCTACTCTGCTCCGACTTGCTTTTCTTGTCACTCTCACATCTCCACCTGTTGCCAGTTTTTTTTCTTTCCTGAGTATAATCAGGCTCCATGAAAACTGGAAAGGAAGAGCTTTTCTGCTTTTACCCCCTGTGCACAAGTGGGAAACATGACCAGCTCAGGGCCTACCAGCTCTTTCGGGGCAGGCTCTGTACTGCGTCACAATAGGTGAGAGTAACATCAGCATTAAAAACCCTCTCAGGCATTTGGCTTCTCCAAACCCCTCCTTGGGGTAAGAAGGGCACAAGCAGACCACAAGGGCACTCATTTCAGTGGTTCGCCGCTTCTAAATATGTACAATAGTGGATGAGAACATGCCAAGGCTATAGAATCACCACCACTTTGGATACAGGAATCTGGTAGAAGGTCTTCCTTCAGCAAGGCTTTCTTCTACTAACTTTGTTTTAGACTTCAACTCTCATGGATTTTGCCAAGTATCCAGACTGCATGGAGGGACTCGGAGACAGATTCATGGTAAACAGCTTATTTTCCTGTCTTTAAATTTCCCCCCTAAGTATTAAGTTTTTTCACTCTGTATGTTCCAGACTGTAGAAGAAAGACTTTTGTTGCAAAATTCATAAAACAAATGTAGCTTACTGTTATCAATTATTATTATTTATATTAATATACAGTATTACCTGGGATGACAGCCAGTTTGGTGTAGTGGTTAAGGCATCAGACTAGAAACGGGGAGGCTGTGAATTCTAGTTCTGCTTAGGCACAAAGCCAGCTGGGTGACCTTGGGCCGGTCACTCTCAGCCCTGGGAAGGAGGCAATGACAAACCACTTCCGAAAAACCTTGCTGAGAAAGCTGCAGGGACTTGTCCAGGCAGTTGTCAGGAGCCAACACTGACTTGAAAGCTCACACCCACATAAAATTATCTGGAAAGTTCAGATCTTAATGAATAGCTTTTGAAAAAGGAACAAAAACAAAGTGGGAGGTATTTATTAGGGTTCTGATCTGGGAGAGAAATCCAGTGCGGAATCTTTTCTTCTATCTCCCCGCAAAAGAGGGTGGGCTGGAAGCAGCAGATGGGAGGAGCTCAACAACATATGATGGATCCTAAGCCTCCTTTATCCTTTATGCTCCTGCAGGAGCAACTGGGGCAATGAAAAGCTAGTCTAGTTTGATATTAAGACTTCTCTGTATTATTTCCAGACAAACAATTATGTCTACCCATAATTGTCCCACGCCTTCTCCACAGAAAGGCAGGAACACAGCTTGGTGGTAACACACCTGCTTTGTATGCAGTGCAGGCAGTTCTAGACTCTCCTGGGAAAGTATTCCTTAAAATCCTGGAAAGCCGCTGTGGGTAAAAACAGAGACAGGTGCATCAGGAGTTAAATTCACGTCCCAAGAAAAATCCCACCCCTTAAGATGCTGATCAACCTGGGAATAAACAACCTCTCTCTTGAGCTGATGAACGGTAGCTTCTTTGAGAAAGAGGCTTCTTTTCCTTAGGCCTGTGGCTGAAGGCGGGCATACTCGCAATGTGTTCACAAAATTGCCATACGATCCAATTTAATCTGTGTCAACCGTAGAATAGATATGGGACAGGCAAAAGAGAAGATTTCTTCATTTCATTGCCAATTAATGTGTAGAACTGACTACCACCAGCTGTAGCAAGTATACGTCATTTTCCAGATTTATAGAGCAGAAATAGTGAACAGCCTGTAGCTGTCCAGCTTTTATCAACCTGACCATGGGTTATGGTGTCTGAGGTTGATGCAAGTTGGGCTCCAATAGCATGTGATGGGCCTCTCCTGAATTAGGATAAAAAACATGGATAATGTATGCAACATTTACAGTTGTTGTGTCATAATGCCTTTAAAATGGAGTATAAAAATTGATGGAAGAGAACTCTGTCAACCACCATGGTATTTACAAATAATTTGTGTTCTGAGGGAGCACCCTGCTGAATACCAAATTGTGGAAATATTAAAAAATCTGTTACCTTCTTTAAATAAAAAGTAACAATAGTTTTGCACTGTTTGTTATTGTAACAAAACTCTTTTCTAAATAGAACAAAAAACAGTCAAATGATATTTTAAAAAGATGGTTTACAGTAGTTTGGCAACACTTCAGTCTTAGAAAAGCTTGTTCGTGATTAGCCATTAACCAGGTTGTCGGTTCTTTTCTCCAAAGTAGAAATGCACAATGGAATCTAGGACAAGATCAAACTCCGATGCCAACCTTAAGGTAAGGAATGCTGTTTCTCCTGCTATCTGCAACTCTCCTTGGTGGTCTGAAGGTTAGAGGAACCTGAGGGGAAGTCCTGTGATTGAAGACTTTCTTTGAAAGTTCTGCAGTGACATTTTCAACTACACCTAATATTTGCTTATTACAGTTAGAGGGGGTAAGGTTCAGAGTCTGCGATGCAGATGGTACAAAATTGGAAAGCTAAAAATTATGGTGATAATTTCTATGACATTCTTTTATAACAAGAATTACATGGCTTAATTGGTTAAAATTGCTTTAATGCTCATACTGTTTGAAAAAGTGACAAGTTTTTGTGCAAGTTTTATTTCATATTTTATTTTAATGAAAAAAGAAAAGGCACTCAGCTAGATATTTGTTTGATAAGTGTTATGGTATTTGTAACACAAAATACCGTAAAGGCTTTCTGTACACTTTAATATACAAAGGGCATATGCCCTCTTCTCTCATACATCAGAGAATACTGTACTTCTGACCCAATACACATACAACAGAGATGCGTCATGCTAATCTTTATTAAGGCAGATTCCAGCCCAATGTTAGGAAAACATTCTTAACCATGTGAGTGGTTTGACAGGGGAGCAGTTTGACAGATTATGTGGAGAGGCTGTGGTGTGCTGCATTCATGCAGAGGCCAGAACTAAATGAATCATCAAACAGTATAAACAGATCAAATCACAGGCTTTAAATAGCCCCTTTAAATAGCACTTTTTAAACATTATTTTATTTTATTTTATTAGGATAAGCCAATTAATAGAAGTCTAGATACATACAACAGTACATACTTTGTGGTTGGGTTCCCAGCCTTGGTATTGTTCAAGTTTTTTTGCAGATGGCTCACTCAACATCCCAGGGAGGCTTTCTCAGCATACGAATCAGAAATGGGGGTGGCCTTGCAGTAATTCTGATCTGTGTAAGATTTGAATTCCTGGGAGTTGATTGGTGATTAGAGGTTTCCTAGGGGTGTCAATCAATTGATGGCTGGGAATGGAGTCAACTTTATTGGTCCACCTTGTCTGCTTATTGCATTTGGATGAGGCACTTGACTGGGTGGCATTTATTTATTTATTTATTTATTTATTT